TTCAGCTCTATGTCCCCTGTCAGTAAAAAAAGACACCATAGATCGGGGTTCATACTATGGCGTCTTGACAAAAACCCGACAGGCCTTGTCTGTGTCTTGGTCGAACACTCTTGGAATGGGAACTTTGAAACCCACGAAGGGTCCACGTCTGCCGCCACGAGAAGGCGTCCCAAATAGCAGACAGTTTTTTCTGTCCTTGTATTAATTACTCTTTTCCAACTGTCAGTTGGCTATGTTTTTGTACTGAAGATTTTTCGTTGAGAAAGATTTTTGAAAAGTGAGTGCACTTGTCTAGGGCTGTGCTCTGATTTGAGCAGTCCTAATGCTATAGAAGTATGGTTGAAAGAAGTGTTATCTAAGAAGAAGTGAGTGGATGGTTTAGGCGACTTCTCATCGACTGTTGCCTGTGTGCGATTACAAATTTGGAATTCGATTTACCAAGTTACACGCACGCTCCATTTAGCATGTTTATCCGCAAGTGTCTGATGTTTACTTATAGATGTGTGAAAACTAGAAGGTAGCCGGAACAGTTAGTTCAGTCAGGAAAACGTATGCTTTATTATCCGAGTGCTGATGGTTTGAAACCGTCGTCATGTACATTTTTTTTATTTATCAAAGATAATTTACTTATTTTAGTGTTTTGTTACTATTGTTTATGCTTGTTTCAAATGTGCAGCTTCATCTCAGTGTCTATTGATTAAGAAGCAGCGTGCTTACAGTTCGGAAAAATTGCTGAACATTTGATGATTGCCGAGAAATTTGCAAGTTGAAAATTTGGAAATATTAATGTTACTCATTGAAAGTCATTGAAAGTCTAAGATGCAGAATTAGCTGATCGAAATTATCGTGATTTTTCAAGTAAACTTTATCAAGAAACACCAGTGATTAGGTGACACATTTCTGAATCCATGTTGCTTTTGATTAAGTTTGGCTTGAATCTTCGGACAAATGAAATAGAACAATTTTTTTCAAAGATGAGGGATACTTTAAGTAAGATTGAAATAGGCCGATAATTTTCAACAGATGATTTAATTTATCTATTGTGTATCGGGGTTATGTGCGCAGTTTTGCAAAAAAAACAAGCCACATTCGAAGAAATAATATATTAAAATAGAAGGTAGATGAAGGGTGCTAAGCAAAAGCGTTGCGGCGAAGAATTAAGGTAAGCACGTTGTCACATGCACAGAATCATTCAGTTTTGGTAGCAATTTCCATGGCTTGTTGTGCTCTCTTAATGTCTAAATCCATTATCAGCCAGAAAAACACGGTGAATCAACTGGTAAAATATCTAGCGGCGAGATCTCAGCGTGGTGAAAAACTGAATGAAAATTTTTTTTTGATTAACTTGCTGGCTTTTACGTCATTCAAAAAAAAATTGACGGAAAAGTTGTTGCACCATTGAGAGATTGCAGGAAAGAAAACGCCTGATAGATTTCATAGCCTCTACAACTATGTAGGAGCACTGTCTTATCAAATTCTGTAAGTTTATCTACAACAAGAGTCGTGGCCTTGCAAGATTTGACAGTTTTTTGGAAATTTTCTTTTTTTTTCAAAAACTTTAATGAGACCAAACCTGAGGTTAAAGGCTTGATCGCAAAAGCAGTCTTAAGAATCCTCGCTAACTAAACAGCTATGCCCTAGTTTTTGGTTGAAAAAGAGTAATGGCCTCTAAACATGTCCAAACTTCGACAGTTTATTGAAAACTGTTTCCTTTTTTCGAGAACTGTACGACCAATCCTGAGATTAAAGGTTTCATTGCAAAAGCAGCGTTAAGAATCCTCACTGCCTAAAGAGCTACGCCCTAATTTTTGTAGAAAAAGGGTTATGGACTTAAGAATTGTTCAAAGTTGAATATGGAAGTTTTTCTGATATTAAAGGTTTGATCGCAAAAGCAGTGTTAACTATCCTCGCTGCTCAAACTACTACGACCTAATTTTTGTAGAAAAAGAGTTATCGCCGTAAGAATTGTCCATACTTGAGTTACTTGACCCCACTTTGGAAATTTTTCTCAAAGATTACCCTGCTAAATGTGAATATGTTCATGCCCAAGTTCTGTTGCCCTATTTCTTTGGCGATGAATGAGATCGCGTTAGAAAATGCTGCATTTTTTACCGATGAAATTTTGCCCGTTTTTTGGTAACTTTTCTAGAAAAATATTCTGCAAAATCTAAGGTCGAAATAAAATGCGCTAGGAATTTTTTTGCCTAGCGGCGAGGACGTATTTTTTCTAGTAAAGAAATGTCGGACATAGCATAAATCCATTTGTTCGATTTTAGAATTTTGTTGATCTTTTCAAACTTCAATGCCAAATCTGCGACTTAAAGCTCAATCGAACAAACAAGCTGTAGGGGTAGCCCCTGCATAGGCGAATTTTCCCTCTTTTGGCTAGGGATCCGCTAGAGACTGAAGATTTATTTGACCTTAAACCTATTCGTTGATCAATCTCCCCAAAACGAACCTTTCCAATTATAAATTTTAGAAATCAATCAAATAACGCATAACCTTTTGCAGGGTCAGTAATTACACATGCGAAGCGTAGTGTATTATAATGAGGAACTTTTTTATCCAACCTAAGTCGCAAATGAAAGTGCTCATTGGTGGCACTTCTGGTATATTTCAATTTAATCATATTTAAAACTATTTAAGAATAAGCAATTTAATAACGTATGCTGCGGCGTTTTTGGGCTAGTGTTGGGTTCTGTTGAAAACAACTGGTACTATGAAACTTCATGGGAACGCTTTGGAAATTATTCCACTTTTCGCAGAAATTTCAGTTTTCAAAAACGACCCAGCCAATTTTCAAAAAAAATAATAATGGGCAAACTGGCGGCTCTTTTATGTGCCTGCATATTTGCTATTCTTTCTTCATTTTACCCCGCGTTCTACAACGAAAGTTTCGGAAGGTTGATTTTTGACCTACTTTTTTTCCATTTCCTGTTTTAAATGCGCAAGTCGTAGATGTATGTTTCAATCAAAAGAACAATTCATGGGTATCACCGTTCTCAGGCAGCTATCACCTAAATTCGGTAGGAAAAAGTTACGGATTCAAACAAGCCCAGTTTTTGACATATTTGTTAATTTTTAAAAGTTTTTGGTCCCAAAAACTACCCTGCCAAATCGGAGATCAAGGGTTCAACCGAAAAAAAAATTATGCGAATCTTTCCTGTGTAAACGGCTATGCCCTGTGTTCTCAAAAAATATATCTGGCCTTAGAAACATCTGAGGTTGTTACTTTAATTAACTAGCATGGTGCTTAGATTTTCCCTGTGTAATCTTTTTCACTCTATTTTTTCGTAGAAAAGCCGATATAGACATCGCACTAAATCCTTTTTTAGAATTTTTTTTAACGTTCTGTTATAGAAATTTCAAACTTTTTTTCACGAAAACCACTAGCTAAATCTGATATTCAGGGTTAAATCTAAAAAATCAGAGTGTGATAATCTTCCCTGCTTAAGATGCTATTCGCATGCTTTAGTTGACAAAAGTAAATGTTTTTAGGAAAAGTCAAATTTTACGATATTTGATCGTTTCTTGTAATCTTCTATTTTTTTTCGAAAGCTACCCAGCCAAATCTGAGATACAGAATTCATTTGTAAGAGCGAGTAGTAAGTTTCTCCACTAAATAAGCTGATAGTTCTCTATTTAAGTAGAGAAATCACTAGTGTTTTGCGTTAAGTCCATTTTTTGAAACTTTGAAAATGATTTATTTCAGTATCAGTACAATCAAAGGTTATAATACTAAAACAAGTGCATCCATCATTAGCTGGGCCACTAGTTTACCTCCAAGTCACCGTGGCAAAAATGTGAGTACGTGATATTCCTAATGAACCGGTGGGAGATTCAAATACAGAACATTGAATTACTTTTATTTGGTCCAATTTTTGCTGCATAGCATTGGCCATTTCATCAAAAAAACTGCAGCTGCTTTATTGGTGGCTAGTGTAAGAACAATTACAAGCAGCCGTGGAGCAGATATGAGAACGCGTTACTCCTTATCTCTGCAAAAAGTTTTCCCAAATGTGTATTTTTATTCTTTTAAGAGTAACCAACTTAGAGAAGACTCTTATATAGGTTTTGGTGATCTTTTTTTTTCAAGAAAGTCTTAAGTACTCTAATAACTGCCGATGTGCATTCATAGATATTAATGTATTTATGTATGTACTTAGGTATTTATGCACTCACTTTTTGAGTTAATTGAAATTCATCAGCTGAAAGTTACAAAAATAGCACAAATACGAACGTAGAAATGGCGCAAAAAAAACGTGAACACTTTCTAGTTTCGAAAGTGGAATTTAGTTTTAGATTTCCAGCGGAATAAAAACTTTACTCATTGATCGAATTTTCCCGAATTGGGTTACTGCTATCAAAAAACGCCATTCATGTATTGTTCTAGAACTTCAAAGAGCTTAAAGAGCATCTATTTTTTTCTTTGAAATTCGAAAGTTGAGATTTTCAAGAAAATCAGTTTTTTTTTATGTTTACTTGCTTCATTCTTTTTCAATCTTCTTTTTTGTTCTGATTTTTATGAAGCCAAATTGATAAAAAACCATTTTGGTTTAAAACATTGTAGTTTTTGAATGAGTAAAAAAATGGTTCGAATTGTTCAACTGTGCATAGTTTTTAGCACTGTAAGTAAAGCAAGTGACGACTGTTAATCAGTAAATTTGGCTGACGATTACGGGTGTTGCCGGAGGATTGAGTGTTAGGTGATTCTAGTGTCCATTTAGTGTTAATTGGCTTGGGCGCAGATGCTAGGACAAGTCGCTTTTAATTTTGAGGTCGGAGTTCGATTACGGCACATCGAGTTTTTTTTGTTTGTTCTACTTTTTCTTTTCTTATGCGCTTTCAGAGCTACTTCTTTGTCGTTTCTCGCTTGAGTTTACTGTTCCTTCGGCTCTGTGTAAAATGCAGTGTTTCAACTTGCATTTTCCGCCTGAAGTCAGCGAATTCATTCTTAAATTATTTTTTGATGTAAATAGAATTTTCGATCTGCGCTTTAGATTCGGGCACACCAGAAGAACACGGTCTCTACGTGTGGAACAAGTTGATTAGGAATACAAAAGCTTCCTCAGTATTTGTTGTAGCTCACAGTTACGGAGGAATAGTCACTGCCCATCTAGCCGATAAGGCCGAAGATTTTACTGATCGAGTGAAAGCAGTTGCCTTAACAGACTCGGTCCACTCTCTAGTAGACATGGACGCATTTAAGAATGTAAGAGTCAACCTGACAACTTGTGTTCCTAGTCGAAATGTTTTATTATTTAACCATTTTTTTTGTGAATAGCGTACAAACAATCATCAAAGGTGACCAAACGTCTATTTCTTTCATTCATCTTGTCTTGTTTGTCTTTTCCAGTAGTACTGAACGAACGGCCCTTCTTGTTCAGTCGTATTCTAGTGACTAGTTCGAGTACTAGTAGAGCGAGGGTTGGGAAAATATCACTGAAATGAATTAGGGTTCTTCGGCTCTATTAAAATAAAATTAGATTGAGTGGGAGACATTTGTTTCTGTTTCAGGTAGAAGATTTCTTTGAGCGCAGTGCTATCAATTGGGTTCAGTCTCTGGCACCCGTGAATACACGTGTGAAATATCGGGAGAAATTGAAAGGCAAAGATTGTGAGCTGAGGTCTGCCGGAGTGATGGAACACGATATGACGTCACACTGTGCCAAAGAGAGCGTCTTCAATTGGTTCGACAGAATCATAGCAGCGGAAGATCAAAATTCAGATGGAATGAATGATGAAGGCTAACCGGCATAGAGACAGATCGAATCGAGAAACACTTAGCTTTAAAAGACACCATATTTACAGATCATTTTGCGTATTTTAAATAGGTATGTATGTTAGCGAATCAAATTTAGTTTGGAGAGAAAACTGTTTTTTGCAGGCTAATTTGAACTTGACGAAGTTTAACCTAAAACATTCCTATTTTCACAGAAAAATGCGGCAGTAGGATTGACTTCGAGGAACAGTGAGTCATGGTTTTGTGAGTGAAAATTCAGTAATCTTATGTTTGCTAAGATTCTATCTAAAAGATTGAATCTGTTATTCTTAGATGATAAGTTGAAAATTCTAGAAGTTAATGCAAAAAATTATTGTTAGTCATGAACGTAGTGAACATTTATATATGTCTTTGTGATTATTTGTTTGTTTGTTTTCAGGAAAATTCTTAAAATGATCTAATAATTACAGATCAATGCATTTATGAATGCACTTAGCTATATATGTACATTTTAGTTATAAGATTTCCATTTCTTTTTTGCAATGGAAAAGAGGAACTTATTTCATTCGTGTTTTATGGATTTTTAAGTGAAAGTTACATACGTTTAGTAGTAGTAATGAATATAGTGAGTACTCTTATATATGTCTTGGTAATTTTTTTCAGGAAAAAGTCTTTAATTTTGTTCACGCTCAATTTTGATTTTTGGCGGTTTGATTGTTTCGCGGATTGATAAGTTCGCTTCATTTCCTTTGAGCACTATCGAACATCAAAAGTGGACAGATCATGAAAAACGTGAGCGACCACTAGTTTCGAAAAAGGAATTTAATTATCAGATTTGCCAGCGATTTAAAAATTTAACATTTTGATTCAATTTTCTTAAGTTGAGTTGTTTTTATCAAAAAAGCACCAATTTAAATTGTTCGTGAAGTACAACGAGCTTCAAGAAAGATATAAAATGGGAAAGTTTACAATTTTGTTTAAAGAGAAATCTGTTTTTTTTTACTATGTTTCTTTGTGTTCCTTACTCTTTTCCAACTGCCAGTTGGCTATGTTTTGTGTTTCGATTGTCTCCAAAATTTCATGAATCATTCCTTTTTATATCTTTTCTTGAAACCCTTGCATGAACTCCAAATTTTTTGATAGAGTAAAAGCAAGTATGTTTATGAAATGGAACGTTCGACAAAGCGTTATACAATCACAAAAAAAATCGTTTACCCTATTGTCAGTTTTGTCTGTTTAAGTATAATGTAAACCGAAGTGAATTCATTTATTAAGATCGCGATAAAATTGTCTCCGTTTCTTAAGAAAGTTTTAAAAAATTTTTGGCAATTTGAAATTTGTTTTCTGTGTAAGTTTGCTAATTTCTTTTGTCAGTATGAAGGCAAGGTCCGCAATCGAACAGCAAATATAAAAAGATCACAAAAACTGCGAGGGTTTTTTTGTAATTTCAAGTTTTGATTACAATGTTCCGAATAACCGGCGTAATGAGAGGTTACTGAATAATCCAGTTTTCTCTAAAAACATACCCCATACCCCACGTTAACGCAATCACTCAAAAAATTTTCACCCGAAAGCATCAGAGCTATTGCTCGTAACCCAAATATTGATTTACAATCAATTGGAATATATTCAAAATCCGATATCCAACACCACATTAGAACACAACAATTCCAGGAATTAGTTACTCAAATGGACACTATACAAAGACAATCAATTGACCAAAACTTACGCAAACTTGCCGAAACTGCAGGATTTGCAGATATCTATACACAATATTATAGCGGATATTTTAAAGACATTAAAGACTATATATATCTAAACGGTGAAAAATACAGACCAAAAGATATTTCACCTGTAAATATTTTTAGCTTTGTTACACTAAAAAATCAAATTCTCGATTTTCTAGGATGGCCCTATTACATCTTAGAAAAATTAACTATCTTATACGCAATGTTTAACTTTATAGGATTTCTTTTTTCACTTTTAAAAGGAATCTATAACACATGTGCTATACACACACAAGTAAATAGACAAGCAAGTGTAGCACGCATACTATTTGCAGGATTTTTTGGAATTTTTTCATCATCAATTAACAAAATTCTTCCAGACGCACAAATAAAAGAATATAACACAAAAATAGCGACAAGACAGAACACGTACGACGAAGAACATAATAATATAGAAGTAACACATACAGCACCACAGTTGCCACCCCTACCACATAACCATCCATTAGCCTTAGTCCCACGAAATTTCCGAAACCTAGCAATAACACATAACCCAAATTTTACACCAACCATATCGCAAAGTCCCATACAACATATAATGACACATCATTCACAAGATGATAATACATATGAACAAATTATAGAACAACCCCACACCACCGCTTTTCAGTCTCAAAATAATAATTTTTTTAGCCCACGATGAGCCGACAACTTGGATCCCTACACCGCTCAAATTCCCATCCAACCAACCTCAACACTCCAATTACAATAACCCCACTTTTTGCTTTCCCGCCACCCGATTTTCCAACTATTAATACAACATCAAGCATGAATTCGGATACTAACTCAGATATTTCAGTTTTATACTCCATTTCACAACTTAATAACCCTAATATAGAAACCCCTGATGAATTTGCAGACTCCGAACCATCTTTCAATAATTTTCAAACCAACTCCTCAGTTTTTTCAAAACCCCCTTTTCAACCGATCCCACCAAATAACCCACTCCCGTCCGTTTCTACACCCTCTTATGCTTCACAAGTAACCCCAACCTACTCTTCATTTCATTCAGACCGATCATCCAATTCTCCAGATATTCCCCAAATCTCCAAAGAACTCGATAATTTTATCACCCTACAACAACAGCTAATACACCCTAACACCCTCACTATAAATCAAATTTCATCCACAATAGAATCCTCAAATCCACCTACTCCTACACCCTCTTCAGCTTATACTGCCTCATTAGCACAATCATCCACATCCACCGAATCATCAACTAGCACTAACCGAGCTTATCGCACTTTTAAAAGAAAATTCCCAAACCATCCATTCCCGACCAAACCAGGAACAGCCTGCGAATATATTGATCATCCACACTTTACAAACACGAAAGATTTCCTAGCAATCACCCTACCTTCATTCCCACAATATACTTTAAACACACCTCACGATACTAACGACACACGTAGTTTTGTAGATGAACATGTTTTAATGCCTACACTTCATTGGACAACATATTATCATTTTACTAATCCCCTTTGCCTGCCATTATCTAATACTCATAACGATATAGAAAGGAATAAAGATATGCTATATCGACTCACCACACCACTAACACATAGACAATTTACTCATATAGGATATAAAAAATCACTAAAAACATTCACTGCACCCCGAGCTAACGAATTTACAATAGAATATTACGATCATAATATCATCCGAACTAACCAAGACCAATTTTTAGATGACGACCGCTTCGCTAACCCACAACTAACAGAAAAATTCTTCATCAAAACACCATATGTATTCACACTCAATATTTTTGATCGAAAATATGATCACATCATTTCTGAAGCACCAACTGATATGCAAGCTTACGAAAGTTTTAAAGAAAAATTTCAATTATTTTCACTAACCTTCCACTTCCTTGCACCACATGAACGCAATTTGCACTGCTCACACGACATTATGTTACGCACTAAACAAACCCACACATATACATACTATCGCTTCATACAAAATCATTTTGATCTACACACTCCATCAAGACAACCACACCATCGTTTTCAGTTTCTTAACTCTAAGTACACTTCGCCATTTTTTCTAAATTTCACCTATTGCATCAAAGATACTTACCTCCACGGCATCCTCCGCGCTTATGACCCAATAACACAAATGTATATATTTTGTCCCATCACGAAGACCCTTAATGCTGAAGAATCCAGACCCTTCCTTATCCCACATGAATTTATCCAACCTATAGAAATCCCTATATTAGAATTCATCCACAATACTAAATACAATCACAAAATATATAATCTCATTCAAAACACACCTTATGAGTTTGCAGTTGGCACCGAAGAACTAAAAACTATTAAAGCACTTCAATTGCTTTGGCCACTGCTTCAAACTAAAAACATCATTCGCATACTAGCAAAATTACTAACAAATTCAGACATGATACACGACATCTTCCCCCACGGTTTTTTCCCCGACGACTAACAGGCAAGTATAATTTATAAATATTCTTCACTAATAAATTTAAATTAATACTAACCATTCTTTACTCATGTTTCTTTTAGATTTTTAGTCTTCATCCCACGATCATCTGCGAAAAACAAAAGAAAAATAAAAAATGAAACTTGTTTAAATTCTTCTAAAACTTTATTAATATTTTGCACTAGATAATATAATAAAATTCATACCAATGTAGTAAATTAATTTATAAATTGTTTCCCCAAAAGCAGTAAATTTAATAATGATGAAAATTTATAACTTAACTTTCCCCCAAAAGCTAGCAGTAAAATTAAAATTCTATGTAGTAAATTGATAAATGAAAATGCAGTACTAACTTTTTGATATTATCATTCACCCGCACAAGAATTCTATCCAAACTCGCACAGCTCGCCCACGAAGAATTGTTTGAATAATGAATTTCAGTTTCAAGTTTTCACACTCAACAACTCTAACACACGATAACAAGTTTCAAACTTTCCTTTAACTCGGTTGGAAAGGAATCATATACTAAACCAAACTAACCAACGCAGCTTACTAAACACCACAAATCAAAAAATAACAGCATGACTAAGAAAAGAAAACCAACGGTACCCAAACCGGATTAACCCAGTTTAAAACTGGATAATTTATTCTTTTGAAGACTATTATAAAGTCTAAGAAAGAAATAATAAAACACAAAAAAGTCGAAAGACAAACCCATAACAAAAACAATTTGATTTTTGAAAAAAGGACACAACCAAAGGAATATAAGAAAGACCAACATAAACCCAACATAAAACGTTATCACATAACAGGACCTCTCAAAGAAACCGCATGAAATCATACTCCCACTCCCGGCCTAACCCACCAGAGAGGACGTCCTGAGCATGCTCTATAGCCGGCCTAACCCACCG